AAATTCCAACGCGAGATATTGGTAGAGTATCTTAGCTTAGTTTTGCTGACAAAACTGAAGACTATGACGGCATGATCACTTTTTCCCAGGGAAATTAAGATTGAGAAGTTATCAACTACAAATTCTTCCTTTGTGAATACACAGTCTAAGCGCGATGGCGTCTGACTGTTTCTACAACGAGTTGCCGACCTCACATTTTCGTACAATCGATAAGGTTGAAGAACCGAGCTTCAATTGAGTTGTCGCCTCTAGGGAGATTAAAACCCCCCAGAATCAGGATGTGTGTGAATCCTAGACGAGTAGAGTGAAATAGTCTTTCCAGAGCACGACTATCGTACTCGATGTCGGGAGTTGGCTTCCTGTAAATGACTCCGACTAGACACCTCGAAGTACTGGACAATCTTACAGAGCACCATATGGATTCCTCAAGATTGTTAAACTCGAGATTATGAACTCGATGCACCTCCAAGCAAGAACGTATGTATACGGCTACTCCGCCCCCATATCCTGATTTTTTGTTATTGCGGAACAAAGACGTCCCAGGTAATGCTAACTCGTGGTCAGAGAATTGAGAAGATATCCAGGTCTCAGATATTCCTATCAGATGGGCCTTATTAGCATTGCTAAGTTCATGTAGTTCATCCAATTTGTTTGGTAGACTCGCGGCGTTCATATACAAACAGTATATGCTTTCGATTTGAAACGCGTGAGCTTCTTCCTGTTTGTTTGTATGAGCCTTACGTGAATGGACAGGTAGCCTACATATACGAGGTTTGCCGAGGTGGTAGGTTCTGTCTTTTACACGTTTTTTGTCGTCTAGACAGTTCACAAGTGGAATGGTCAACTCCGACTTGCCTTTGTGTTTGATCCTAGCTTCGTATGGCTTATACGGCTGCATGTGGATTCCAGGTGGCAGCCGACGTCTGTTGGCACAAAATGCTTCCAAAGTTGCGGACGCCATGTGTGAAGATGGGAAGGTTATTTTCATTAGACGGGGTCTAGAATCACCATCCTCCTTGGCTAGTCTCGTCACACGCCGAGTTAGTATGTTTTTGAGCCTCAAGGACTGTGTGATGAATTTCCATTACTTGATGTCAGATTTTGATTGAGTAGGGTCCGTATTTTCCGGTATACCTTGCATAATTATATTCCTCCTGCGTAAAAACTGATCGCGAGTTTCTTTGGGGATGTTCCGGATGAGATTGCGCTCAGAATTCGGTATGTCAGGCAGTATTCTCAAATTCCCATCTGACTTCAGTAAATGACTCACTAGTAGGACATCCTCCACGTCGGTAGCATTCTTAAGTGTTACACGAAGTAGCCTCGGGTGATTTTGATGCTTAGAGTTCTTTCTGCGAGTGAGCCGTGTGACTGAAAAAGGCTATATTCTTGGAAGTCCAAGTTTCTTGTTCAATTCTCCCCAGAGCATCCTATCATTTTTGTCCTGCAAACTGAGAAGGTCATGGTTGTCTTTGAAGTTCATGATTATAAGAAAGTCGTCACGAACCGTTATTGTCGTCCCAGGTTTTTCGCTACGTTCAGTTTTAGCACCTTGTTGTTTGGGGGTCGAAGCAAGTTTATAAATCCTTGGCTCTTTGATGACTGGACGGACAATTTTGGGGGTAGACTTTGTGACCAGATCAGCAGTTGACTTCCGTTCAACAGCTGGGATGTTCAACTTAGACTGTGACGCCTGGCCCCTTTTAGCTCTTTTGACATGGATCCAATCACCTATAGAGTTTTTGGGAACCACTGTCGCGTTCAAGGACGGTCGCTACTTTGGGAAATTATGCGACTAGGTGCGTGCTACTTATATTGACTTAAGTAGTATATAACGCGAGTCAGGAATGTAATGTCTGGCAGCAGAAGATTGGGAAGATCAAGAAAGGAAGAACAGCAATAGAAAGAAATTAGTACAGAATTGCAAGAACAATGAAGTCCGAGACAATTATTGAAGATTTTGCAAATTAAGTATTATAGTATGGTTTCTCTATTTTACCAAGTAACTCCGTAATGTTGTGCTAAATATAATTCAGTTATCCTCACCTATGTTTTCCTCCACTACAAATATATTAAGTATAGCGTACCTGTTAAACAGCGCGGTGGTACGATCACTATTGCGGGGAATTATACGACTGGGCTTGTCATGGATGTTGTGGGAGTCAGCTTCTGAGTAACAACACCAGGCTTAGATATTACGAGGTCAAAATGACATGACTTGAAAGTAAGTAGCGCAGCCTTAACGTTTAATGTCTTGAGTGTCTATTCGGTCGTAATGGAGCTGTGCATTGTATTTATTTAAGATAAATGACGACTAGCCGCTAAGTGCTAGTTGTCATATCATTTATGTACCTAGTAGATGTTTATGCGCTGTTTTAAGTCACACTGTTTTTATGAGGGTCGTTCGAAACAAAGCTGACCGATATGACTTGACCTATGACCCAGCAGAAAGTTGTATATCTTAGTTACTTGGATATCCAAAATGTAATCACAGCACCATACTTCAAAACGTTATTTGCATCTATGACTTTAACTTTTAATAACTAATTATAATATTTTAAGTGTTGGGCTAATGAGCGTAATTGAATGAAAGTTCTGCTTTTCAAATTTCTACCCAGGAACGAAATATCGACAACTCTGAAGTGCCACACATTCCATAAAAGATTTAAAAACACACTTCACTGAAGTTTTCGGGTTTCCAGTGAACCCAATTCCTTAATAGTGACAAATATTAACCTAGGTGGTTACTATAGTTCAAATCCTATTGTTAAAGCGTACTTTTATATAGTATCCTCCAAAATTAAACGGACATTTTACTTCAAAACATCTGAATATTGTAGCTTGGAATAAAGAAGAACATAAGGATTGGGACAAACTGATTAAAAACACATCGGTGTTTTCTCTTTATGACGAGTTGTAGCAACGAAAATCCCACAATGTCTCAACGATCGAATCGGATGAGTTAAATTATACTGGGACTAAATAATCGACTCGATGCGTTCGGCTGAAGTACCTAGCAAAATTTAGGCACAATATTATTAGACATAGACAAACGATTTGAACTTTGTCTGACAATGGTGAATAATAACCGTCTGGTTTAACTGAATATGGGACTGGAAGCGACTTTAACGCCTAACATTCATCAATATGTCAGTCAGTCAGCTACAACGTGGGACCAGGCATATACGTGCATCGGTCCAGGTTGCCATACCTCATTAGCACAGCAAGATGAACACCGGATTCATAGGAGTGGTTAGGTCAAAAGTGGTAATATATAGGAGAAAGATTGCAATAAGGATATAGTATAGGAAGAAAGAATTAGTTAGTAGAAAGAAAGATTTGAAGTGATTTTAATCTCCTAGTTTAAGGGAAGACAGAGAGTGTATACACCGACGCCACTGTGATCGATTCTGAGCCATGTCACCAAGAGTCTCCAACCATCGGTTACGAAAGTCACGCGGACCCCAACCAAGTAGTCTGCATCTAACAACATGGCTCAGACTAGAAGTTAGTGACTTCAAACACTGATGCGTGCCCGTATTACGACGTGGCCGGGATCTAAACAGGTACTCCAGAATGAGCGACAATCTTCTGCCGGCCCTCTCCAACGATGACTGATGGCAATATGGTCTATTTGAGTCCATCGTTGGTTTGGTGTAGGGAGTCGCCAAGTTAGACGATGTCTCTCCTTATGCTTAAAATTTGTGTTTGCTAAAAATAAACGATTGTCTTAGCATAGTTGCAGCAGACGATCACCATTATCTGTTCGCTGTGTCAAAATACCCACCTAAATGCCTTTGTTTGGTTTAAACTACCTATCTGGGCATTAAAGTCACCTGCTACGAGTACTATGTCTGAACGTTTAGCTTTCTGTAAAATTCTTCTTTCACTTCATCCGAGCTGCAGTCAGTGGGAGCGTAGGTAAAAACAACGAAGTGTGTCTCTATCCTTCCGAGTTCTTACGTAGCCGTTTAGCCGAACAGCACATAGACGACTGTTGACAGGGATCCACTCTAGCAGTGTTTGTTCCGCCCTCATGCTTAGTGCTATGCCTACACCTGCCAGTCCACGAGAACTGGCCATCGGGTCACCAGATACACGTAGGGTGTATCTCGTTGGCTCTCTGTTTTACCGAGGTGAAGTCAAACTAATAACCACACTGGAATCCTGTATGCGTGTTTCGGAGACACAGCATACATAAACGGTAAGAGACTCTAGGGTTTTAGCTAAGAAAGCCTGCTGACCGATTTGACATAGGGTTGAAGGCTCCAATGTGTAGTTTGGAGCGAGGTTTCAGTAGACCTGAAACAGTGTTTTGAGAACTAGAATCGTTGGCTATGGTGACACTTGAGGGGGAAGCCGAAATTTAGAGTTGAAAGTCGATGTAGGAGGAATAATAGGGAATGAAGAGGGAGGTTCATTATGAATACAGTGGTCTGGAGCGCTGTTAGAGGTATGAGGGCGGTTATCACTTCCCGGTTGCCCACACCGTGGAAGGGTTCTTCTGGAGGTACCTGAAAAGGAAATTGGATTAGAAGTGGTCTTAGTCACTTGAGAGTGTGACCGCAGTGCCCAAGGGACAACTGCTTGAGGTCGGTCACACACGACCTTTTTATGGGCAATTTTTGTATTAGCTCCGTACTTGTTGAGACCTTACCGCCGGAGACGGATATCCGTGGGATAAGGCGACGTGTGCATTTTTAGGGTCGACCTTTTCTAACCCCACCCCTCCTTGTGGGAAGACAGCATCGCTGTCATGCTGGTTGTCTGAAGGCAACACCTTGCTGCTGTCACACCTCTGTACAGTCAGCAGTACGATTTTACCTTCGGACCTTGGGTTTGTTGCTTTTAGTCTTACCGCTCTTCAACCGACCTGTCTGACATGGTAGGACCTTGAGGAACGGTTGTTCCAGCCAGTATAGCTTGGTTGTTTCATCACGATAGGCAAGCCCGACCACCACGTCAAGGTAGCAAAAACGGTAGCTTTCAAAGTAAAATACTTTTTTAGAAAATAATTTTATTGGTATTTCTTGGGAATGCTATTGCATCTCGAATGTTAGCTATCCCCAAAACAAATTGCATAAGACGCTCGAAGCCGAGACCAAAACCAGCATGGGGAGCACTACCAGTACCACGTAAATTAATGTACCACTGCGACTGACTGGACTTCATGCGTGTTTGTAAACGAGAAGCAACATTCTCACGAACGCTGGCGCCAACTAGTTCGCCGATCCCTGGAAATAACAAATCAGCACACTCAGCTTCAATACCATTAACTGACTGACAGTAAAATGGTTTAAGTTCCATGGGAAAATGAGTAATGAAGACGGGACGATTCCCTCCAACCCAATCTAGGATTTTGTACTCCTCTTTTTTGTTCAAATCCCGAGGTTTTGAAGTAGTAAGATCAGCTGTACCCATTTCTTTATTCAAGTACTCTATGGCTTCAGAATATGAAATGCAAACAAACGGTTGTTTCAGCATTGTTTCTAAAACATTTCTTAGCTCGAGAGCAGAATCAACTAGAAAACCTTTGCAATGGCTATCAGATTCAGATTGACTTCCAAGGAATGTTCGAATCAACACTAAATCATTCTGAAAAGTAAGAAAATCGAAGGATCAGAAGATGGGAATCAACAAAAAAGTCAGCATTAGAAAGTGGGTTTGCTTAAAGATCTTAAAGTCCTCTTTGTGAACTGTATAACACTTCTGAGTCAAGTGTGTATATTAGTATAAATTGATGAAAAATTGCAATAATGTTTTACACATATTTAACTGATTAGTACAAAGCATGCACAAAATTAGAAACTGATATGGGTAGATCCTTATTTCAGGAACGGAAACGTTTCAAATTAAAAAATAATAAATGATAGATGTAGCAATGGAAATTTAGTCGATGTTCCTATGGTTAACGCAACTATTGACTTTTAACAAAGATAACCGGAGAAGGAAATCAACATTAAGTTTCTTACATATAGTTCACAATTTATGGTTTATTCTTTCTATCTAGAGAAGAATAGCACGAAATAAAGGAAGAGTACACAGCTTCTTACACTAACAATTCCATAAGTTTTACTATTACGTAATGCATATATCCTGCGGCCAGATTAACCGGTTTTTAGGGTTCCCTATATCTTACATTTGTATTATGCTAAAGTCAGTTTCATGTAATTAGTTCACTCAAATTTACACTTTAAAGTAAATATATTCATACATTTAGATTTTTCAGTTAAGAGGTCATAGCAAAATAATATTAAATTTAAAAGTGTACTAGTAGACTCCTGAAGATGAAGTAAATCGTTACATTTTATACGAAAAAGACAATAAAAGCTATAAGGGACTATACTATGTAAGAGAAATTTATATAAAATATGACTGCATAAATAATAGAAGCAAAAGACATATCTATAGTAAACTTATTCGTACATATTTCATTCGAATTAAAACTCATAATAATCAAGCAGTTTGAAAACCAAACTCTGATTAGGTATAGATTATTTGTAAAGATTACAATTTAAGGACGAAACCAGTTAGACTTAGGATAACAAGTATTAGATTTTGGTAAGAATCAATTCATACATTTGGCTAAATGGCATTTTGTCATTTTTGCTGATGTCAGTTCGTGATGAAAACCCTAAATCTAATTAATAACCCTAATTATCAACGGTAAATCATGATCCTTAGACCTCACATCGGTTTATAAACATTATTTAGCTGTATTAAGCAGATGAACACTCTCAGGATCACTCTAGCTTCGTTCAAAGGTCATCCATAACCTGAGATTATTCTCCACTATGAAAATCATCACTTCTACTGAATAGTATCACATTCATTCTAATAATGCAAAGACAAACTTGTTTGTCGAGTAGGACTGATATTTAACGCGTACTATTAAAGAACCATATATGCAACACAGTAAAAATCTAAACAATAACATTTTTTCAAGCAGAGTACAGGTTGTTCGTATTGAGATTTGAGCCATACAGTAAGTATGAAAGTTAGTAAGCAGTATTACTTGGTCATCCAAACAAAAATGTTACACAATTCGAAGTTGCAAAGTTCTAGACGATAATTGAATGATTTTTATCTCCAAGCTACGAGATGTAAAAATTAATTTTATTACTTATTCATTGAATATAAACTTGCAATATTGAATTTCATATAAAAACAAACCATAAATATGCATAAATTCATTAAAATTACACATTTTATAAATTGGTAATTAACTGTCACTATTAATCATGGAATTGAAAAAAAACACACAATAAAACAAATACTTTTTTTCATTAAAATGAACGTCAATTTCAAAACATACTATAAATTCCATTGTTACAAACAATGAAACCATGTGAATTTAGTTGTTTTTTACAAAATGCATAAAATAACCAAAATACTTTTTTTTTTAAATTTTTACAAAAGAAAAAAAAACAACCCACATCGTATCATGTAAATAATTGATAATAAGCTTTGAGTAGTAGATAATGAGACTATACAATTATGTGAAATTGTAAAACAATATAATCTACAACTGGATCAAGTGAATTCTTTTGCTCATTTCATCCTTTTTGTCTTAATTATTAAAAAAATTACTATGAGGCATGTGAGATACTTTAAACATCTGCTCTATGGGAATAAAATACTACTATTAATAGTATTGTTACTTGAATAGAGAAATTATTTTAAAGCATGAAACAAAGAAATACTACCTATTCCCATTAGAAACTTACATGCAAATATTTACAAATATCTACAACTTTAAGTACAAATATACACAAGTATGTATACGTGTATTGGATAAATAAAAAAGTAACTATGAACTAATGTAATAATGGGGAAGGATGAATTTCATAAGTGTAAATAATAGAAAATTTCTATACAACTGATTAAAATATACAAAAAGCTTAATAGAAAAGAAAAACTACTTCACTATTGAACGATTGAAAATGATCAGAAATAAATTTTAAACATTTAATTATATGGATTAACTTAACAATAATAATAAAAATAAAGGAATTAGAATATCATTTAAGCTTCATTAGAACAAATCCATCAAAGATCGAATAGACCTAAAAAAAGGCTTTTACTTCTTATAGTACACACGTTTATGGTTAGTGGAGGTCGCACTAACAATAATAACACTCAAGGTTATTCACAGAAACGAAGAACAATAAAGGTGAGTGAACAATTAATAGATAAATGCAAACTGGTAAAGTATGTAACGAAATTATTAGTTCCTGGTAAGTAATTTACACAAGAATTGTTGTATACATGCTAAACACCTTCTGAGATATGAAACGAGAAAACCATGTGAAGTGTGGAATCTCTATTTTCTTACGAAATTCAAATCATGTTAATTGAAGATGCTGTTGTACAGACTAAAGCCGAACATTATAGAATAAATTTTGCTCCGCTCACAATTAAGTTAACTAAATAAACCAGTCATAGAAGAATAAACAAATTCATGTTCACTTCATTCAATAGAATTGTTCAATATTTTGAAATGTCCATCACAGCAATGCAAATTCTATTAGAGAACGGCACTTTATGGTTAATCAGAGTATGTTCACAAGTTCACTGCATGAATCAGAATTATCCAGTTAGTAAAAGAAAAAAAGAAATAGATCTACTTCTACGTATTTGGTAACAGAAACTGCTATAAATAGTTCCAATCAAAAGTGGTGACCAGAATAAATGATCAGAAACTAATTAGTTCACTTAAAACTACACATCCAGAAAAGATTATGTGATCTGACAAGGAAGTGCTTATCTGTGTAACCATTGTATAATTAACCTTCATTGAACTAAATATTTTCATTGGATTGCCGGACAGTAGGAATGTTGAATATTAAAAGTGTTTTAACTTGAAAACGATTTTTTTAATTATTAACTTAAAGGACTGTACGTTACCGAAACAATGTAATACGTTCTTAGATTTGCTGAGTCTCATACTACCATACTACAAACCACTTATCTGATCTAGTTGGAGCATAAATAACAAGTATACTAGAAATAAGTAACTCAATCGAACAGTAATAAAATACAACTTCAGCTGCTGTTTCAAGGTAGCAGTTACAGATAAGTCATGTAATATTGTTGGCTTGTATTTTATTCTCAATTATTAATAATAAACAAATATTTAGATTTACTCACTGAATAATAAGATTGAACTCAATAATTTAAACTACCCAGGAAATTGAACAATAATTCTTTGAAAAAGATTCCTATAAACTATTCAACTACGTGTTTTAGTACTAGGCTGCAATTTTTATTTATTATGTGTGGAAAACAGCAAAAGTAGGAAGTGCTGAATTACTAACTTTTGACTTAATTTAGTTGAAACCATTAAAGCATAGCGCTACTAATAAATCTCCCCTTTAAAAAAAACATAACCTATTACTAGTAATAATAAAAGAAGGAACATAATGAAATACAAAGAATACATATATGTATATATAATTATTAATTACAATAGGTTTTATACATAATAAAAATGAATTGACCAGATAGAACTTAAGAATTGTCGTAAATTCTTTGAGTTGAGAACAATAAAGAAATAAAGAAATTTTCAAAGGTGTTTTTGTACTAAAAAACAATGGAAAATATACAGTAATAATATAATCCTTTTCTACTGAAAGGGAAACAATTGTATGTATATAAATTTATTGAACAAAAGAAAATGAATGGTTTTAGTAACTGAACAGTTAATCAATAGTGTCAGTGATTCTCATTTGTGTCATGGTCAAGAATTTTTTGTTAGAATGTCCTAAATTAAGATGAAATTAAAGAATCAGAATAGAAGACAATTCATGATTTAAACAAAATTATTATCTATAAAGCAAAACTATTAATTTTTAATCTTAAACAACTTAAATTGAAAAAGATAATCACTTAACTATAAAAGTTTTGTAAGAAAGTAATTACTATAGAACAGTTGTAAAAATTTGTTTTAAATATAACCAACAAATATTTTATTTATTCATTTAATAAATAATACATATTGAATGAAATCAACTTACTTGTAATGCATTGAGTTCATTACATTCTGAGATAGGATAAATTTCTAAACATTCATTTAATATCTTTTTAATTAACATTTCAATTTCTCTACATAATGAATTAATATTATCTAAGTAAATTGATTCTGCTTCAAGCATGTAAAATTCTGCAAGATGATATCTTGTACTTGAATTCTCAGCTCGAAATGTTGGATTCAATGTATAAACCTATTTGTTTTAAATATAAAGAAAAATAAATTAATAAAACAATCATTGAAATATCTGTAATTCTAGATAATGTAACAAGTAGCAATAAATGTTTTTGAAGTTTGTTTACATTTTAGTTCGCTTTTAACATAGATCATTACTTTATGCTTTGGTTGATTTCTTCTCTTTTGTCATAAAGCTTGTATAGTATTTGTTTTATTCATAATTATTTATTTGCGATCATGATAGTTGGAGAAGATTAAATTATTTGCACTATGGATCTTCGTTGTATATAGTGTTAAAATGATGCGTTTAAAGAGACTTTCAAAAGTACGTACTGATAGAAGTTTTCAGTCAGTTAGTGATAAGTGGGGTTCTTCAGATTTAAAAAATTGTATATTATGAAAGAATTGCTCGTGTTGTTGAGGATCCTGATGGTGAAGTTTGACAACTAGCAGTTTTCACAGCAGTTTGATGGCTATATAAAATTTCATCTATGGATTAATTCCATATAGATACTCTAAATTTTTTAATAATAGTAACTTGTCAGTTCAGTCGAATACTGAATGAGGACAAATCTCCATCAACGACACGTCAACTTAGCTTGCAAACTAACTCAAATTCGAAAACCTAATCATTAAATTTTAATTGATTATTTGATTAACAAATTGATGGTCAAATGAGACAATGATACCAGATTCGGACAAAAATAAAATCAAAAAAGACTTATACTAAAGAGTCATGAAATAAAAAGCGGGTGATCTTTAGTACTGGTCACCCAGGTTTTTAAAAAATATACGATAGTTGTTATTTGTTTACATAACCTAAATGGTGAAAAGTTTAACATGAATCGAAAAACATCCTTTCAGTGTTCACGCAAAAAAGTCTACGGTAAAATCTATGGACAGCATCCATAGAAAGTAATTATTAAGCAATAATTAGTTGACTGAACTGATATTAATATAGGTCGACCAGTGTTGTCACATTATATCAGTAGAGCGAGATAAAGTTATTAAGATGAATAACAAGCTAGAAGTAGTATCAGCGATTAGATTCGACATCATAATGCACTTCCCGCGAAAGCTGTTGAGTAGTTAGAAAAAAAAAGGAAAGTAATTTATCGCTCATCATCTATTTCAGATGATGTATATACTTCCAAATTAATGAAATCTTTGAGAAAAGCGCTTAAAAAAATTAAGATAAATAGACACAAACAGTTCAGATTATCATATATAAATTCAGTGGGTGTGTACAGTCTATTAATGTAACTTCAAGGTTACGGATGGAACGTGAGAAGATAAACTGTCTTTGGACACTTCGTTTGAGCCCCATTTCGATGACAGTAGTACCCTTGATAGTTTATAGACGAATTTATGTCATTTATGATAAACGGTTATTTTTAAATTGTATTAGGATTAAATTGTCTAGAAAGGTAATGAAAACTTCAAGGATAAAACATCCAGCTCAGAGAACAAAATTCATTCAAAATCCTCTTCCTAAGCTCAAAATCTTCTCCATAATCTCAAGATGGTCTGATATTTTAAGACCAAGAAGTACACAACAATATTAGAAACACTTCTAATCTCATATTTCCCTGAGTAAACAACAAATTAATTTGTAAACTAAACTATTAGAATATAGTCAATTAGGAAGACATATTTAAGTAAACAAAATGTAGCTTGGTAAAAACATGGAGCACAATGTTGAAACGGAATTAGTTAGCAAGCTTCAATTAACCGGTCTGTTGTTGAATAACATAGACTACGAGATCTGCAACAAATGAAATCTTACACCTAAAAAATAGTAATAATTTGGTGAAATTCCAAACTGGTTTGTTACTATGATGCTACTCGTTTAACATCAAAGTCAATCTGGTAAAGCAAGACGAATAATGTGAAATTTTAACTTCTTTCGAAATTTGATAACAGCTTGATTGACAGAGTATCAAGTTAATACTGTGTAAATCACCGGTTGGGACACGATCACCAGCAAAACCCATACCTTAATTTAATAATCCAATGATTTGCCACTTTTATATCATGTACTGAACAGCATTATAGCAAAAGTAGACTTAAAATCAGCAAGTTGGATCAAATTTTAATAAAGAAAATTTAATGATTCTTCAAGCTTATATTCATTAGCAAGCGATGCTAAAGTAATGTAAAGAGATAACTAATCAAATATCCAATCGAGACAATTTACAAATAGTAAAATAAATGCGATAATAAGCTTTCTCTACCGTATGATGCTGGCATCCAGATATTTGATAAAAAGGAGTAAAAAATATTCCCATTAAGGTTATCACTCATAGCATTAGGACTGAATGAACCAAAACAGAGATAAAACACTTCAAACCGCAAGTAAAGGGGAATTTATCACAGTAATCATTAATAAAGAAAATTATACCAACAAGAACGTATAACAGCAAGATTAAAATGTCACAAAATAGAAAGTGTAAGTTTTATTTACCTTACTTAAACCCAGCGCAAGAGATTCCAAATGCATTTGAGCACTACCGGTTAAATATATACTTGAACTATCGGATTCCCTAGTCTCATTAGGAGCAGGCGCTTGAACTTGGAACATCTGACCAGTGCCTTCACAATCTGTTGAAGTGAGGATCGGAGTATCAACCTGAAATGTAGAAATGTTATTTTAAAGAGAACAAAAAGATACTGAGCAAAAATTTTAAACTTTTCTGTACATTTCAAACTTGAAAATTAATGACTTCATGCACTGATTTAACATTTTTAAGGGACCAAACAGAAATCCCACCACAAAAAGTGACAAGAAATTTATAACATTAAGATAGATTTTGACAACTAAGCATATCAACACAAGTGTTATACTACATTAACTGGAAAGAACTTGACAAATTCATCCTTCCCAATTATTGAGTAATTTTTCAACATGAAAATTTATCTCATGAACAAATGAATTATTCACTAAGTTTGAGTATCAATCTACATGAAAGCATAGTAAGTCTCATCCTTTAAAGGTGATAATTTACATAGGTTAGTGTGTAAACAAAAAGCGACTAAAATGATGCTCTCTAAAAATTATTAAACGTATAAGATGGTTGATTTACAAATCCTCGAGTCAGTTAGCAAGCACTACGCATCATTAATTAATGTTTAAAAAATAGTAACAACTGATCGACATTAAAGCTAAGTAACTAAGAAAACACGGAAAGCAAATCAATGAGGATAAATAAATAAATGAATACCAAATTAAGAAAATAGGGCAATTTAAATTAATAGTAAGAAAATGTTAAATGAATGATACAATGTTGGTATGAATTTCATTTTTAAGTTGATTACAAACACTCAGTGTTCACTGAATCCATCCAGCTTTAAATAAGTTAGTTTATCAATAACATTGGTTATAGTCTACGTACAATCTGGAACAAATTTGTTTATTTTACCTACCAGTATAAAGTTACCACAAGAATGCAAAATTAACAAGATAAATACTAAAGTTTTCGAAATAAATGTAGTTTCAGTCATAATGAAAAAAACACTGAGAATATTGTTCGAGAAGGTATGCAAATACTTATGTGTAGAGTAACATGTGAAACTGAATACCTAAAAGAAGATATACAGTGGATGCATCTCCGCCACAGTGAACGATTCCGAGTCATGTTAACCAACATCTTCAACTACTGATCACGGTTATCCAAACAATACATATAACTTAACATTACCGGACACCGCTATAAAGATTGCTCTAAAAACTTTTATTAGCAGAACAGATCTAAGGAAGCTTAGAAATGTTATGCTATATATTATTTACCACAATCACTTTTAATCATCACCAACACAAGCTAATTATCATTGTGGTTACAAAACTTACATTGAAGTATTAATTATTTGTATATAATTAGGTGTATCCATTAACTTCTCATCTGAAACTTGTGTTTTTTTAGTCCCAAGAAACCTTGGTTAACTACGATCGGTGTTTTTTAAAAATCAAGAACGAATGTACATATGGACAAAACATATACACACAAACACACTACAATTGCCATAACGACCATATTATCTCATCTAAGAAAAACCTATACGTTTTCAACAATTTTATGATTGACATGTTGACAGTAATCATATTTATTCAATTTTAATGAAATCATCAGTCGATCAATGTTCGACCACCAATGAAAACCCTAAGGATTGCCTTATGGACAGCCGTTTCGTTCTAATATGGAACTCCCAAACAGTGAGCATCGACGACCATGCACGCGGGGTCGCGCGACATCTTGAATTTGTTGAGCTAAGACTTGAACACCGTTGTATGTAGGTTCAGTAGTCCAGAGGTTAAGCGTTTGTGCTCAAGACCGAAAGTCCTAAGTTCAATTCCCGCGTATGGGGTCGTGGATGAGCACTGCTGAAGAGTCCCATACTAGGACGAAGAGACCGTCCAGTGCTCCCAGGTTTTCAGTGGTGGTCTAACATTGATCGGACCATGATTTCAATGAAATCCAACAATCTCCACAATCCAATACTTAAAATTTTTAAATCATTTTAGTGTAATTCATAAAATAAGGTAATCGGTTTAAAATTACTAATTCTACAGTTAAATGAATTAGAGTGCATAATAGGTAGAAGTTTCATATTTTAAAAGGAACTACGAAGATGGCCCATGGTAAAAGCCAAGATTCCTCGGAAGTCACGAGGCCAATGCTCCTTCTAAGAAACAGAAAAACTATTAATATGGCTACATGGAATTTTCAGACAATGTGGGAGACAGAGAGGACAAGTCAAATAACTACGGAAATGATAAGATACAACTTGGCAGTTCTCGGAATAAGTACAGCCCATTAAATACAAGCTGGACAGAAAGGATTAGATTCGCAGGAGGTATTGTTGTATTCCGATCATGAAGAACCACCTATAAGATGGAAATCTCATGAATCCAGAATTATTAAAACAACCTTCAAAACAAAGAATGAGGGGATCACAATGAATGTTATCCAGTGAAGATGTACATACATAGACAAACGTTACATAATAAAATACTTGCATTCGAAGCATAGAACTTTCCATCTAACTAACCAATATTCTCAATTGGATTCAATGCTCCCAAAAACAGCTTAACCGAATTTTCAATTAGGATATTGGTCATTCAACTACTACTACTACTACTAATAATAATAATAATAATAATAATAATAATTATTATTATTATTATTATTATTATTATACAACTAATACTGACAGCAATATAAAATGGTCTGTAATTGCATAGAGTACATTGAGAACTTTGGGATGTCGTAATTGTTTCTCAGTATGTCATGATAATATATCTTCATTTAAATCTATATTGTTTGCTAATTGAAAGAACGGAACTCAACTATTTTTATTGACAACTAATAGTCAACTTCAAATAGAATTTAATAAAAGAAATCAATAACACACACACACGCGCACAACCATTGAGAGGCATACATAAATATCAGCAATATCATACAAAAGTTTTTCTTCTAAAAAAAACCCAACGAAACGAGAAAAACGTTAACTCAACATTATACTTTGTAAAACAATGTGAAATTTGTACTTTTAAGAGAGAATTTAAACTAGTAGATGGTTATTTTATAGAAATTAGTTTTGCTGTGTATTAGCATAAATTAATCATTACAAATTACAATAATTGTATTATGATTCGTTGGTTTAGGTACTCAAACTCCAGCAAACCAATGATTTATATGGTTTGAAACCAATTCATCGAATTAATGCAATTTGAGCAATCGGGTAATTTGATTACAAAATATATATATATTTATGTGTATAAGTTTTCAGCATTGTGCTATTATTATTTTCTTAATGAAAACAAAAATAAAAATGCATCAAATCGTATTGTTATTAAACGGTTTGAATTCAAATCTTCATTTCTATAAGTAACTGATCACTGGATGGTGACCAATGTCATGTTTGTCTAGTATTTTAATGATGAAAAAATTTTGTCGAGAAAATTATAATTTGAACAACAGACAGCACAACACACAAAATTGGTCATTACTCAGTGACTAATCAATGACACACGTCTAAGTTATCGGCTACCCGAAAAGCTCAATCAGTGTTTTCATCAGACCAAGCGAATTGACAGTCAGATGTAATTACAATGACAATAACTAAATGGTTACATGAAAAGATTATATGTCGAATTTTATGACAATCAGAGAGGTCAATAAGCGACAGGAGTGATTCCCTACTTCAAATAATTATTGTATAATTCTTCATGATGACAAAGAAGCAAACAAATGGTCTGATTGATTCAATGCATTTATAAAAATTATGAATATGAAAGACCTCAAGATAAATTAACGAGTACAGTAGTATTCAGTGATACTAATTATTGCTGTAGTTGTGTAATTTGGTAGGGATAAATGCAATATGAACATAGTTTTTGTTTCGGACCGTGATATCAGTCAATGAACTATTGGAAGTTATAGGAAACAATACAGCTATTTCTATCTCGACTTGGGAATAGTTGGTAACGTATGCTTATGAAATTAAACATCAGCGTTCACATTTGGCGGCAACCACATATTACTCTAAACAGCTGAGAACATTGATCACTCTCCCTGGAAAAAACCCATTCTTACCTAGTGTTCCGTGCTGATTGATAGAATCCTAACAATAAAACATGAAATGGAGTTAGTAGACTAAGTGAAACATAGTAAGCATTTCTACCCTTGTCAGATGAATGTACCTGCATCTCAGAGTTGACGCTGATTCCAGGACTCGATCCTGTACCATTCACATCAAACGCCATCACGTTATTCACCTAGCTACTGAGTCCGGATAGTCACCGGCTTGTGCAACAGGATTAATTTTGATTCATATATATTGATCATTTGGATCTTCCTATTCATGTTTAGGGCTATAATTGATCAACCTCTTTTGGAAAATGGACATCCTACGTGAATTGCCTCGATAATGCCATTAAGTTACAAGCGTTATAATTAAAGATGGATGATGGCTAATAGTGGGATTCGGGATACAAGTTTCTTCCTAGCTAAGTGCATAACGCGATGGTGTTTGAACCAAACAGTACTGGCTATGTTCTCGTGCAGTGAATAAGCTTATTTTACTGTACCCATATATTTCAATCAACAAAACATGTTGACCTCATTCAATATCCGTACATCCCCATTGATGAAAGAAAGCCTGAAACATGATTGTATGATTTAGCAACTTAGCAAGAAAAATGCAAATAACTTCTATCCAGATATATTTTTAATATTTTCTGTATCAAGTTCATTTCAACAGCTTCATAGATTATCATCATTATTATCAACATAATAATAATAATAATACCATCCAACGTAAAACATTTTTGATATATTTCAATTTTCGATGATACACACCTGTTATTTACAAACAAAATTACATTTCACATATTCAATAGTATTTTGACTGGATACATTATTGGTTGCAGTAGCAGTAATAACACAACTCGAGATTTTCAATTAACCTACTTCGTCAAGTTCTTCACGAAACCAATTCCATTGATAAAAAATTTTGCAGCTGAGATGAAAAGATTTGCAAAGTCATATACCATCTATATACTTTTCCATGATGGTATATTTTCTTCATACAACCCGGAAATTGTAAACATGTACCGAAGCATGATAAGTTGCATTTATTATGATGATCGGCTTATTCACCGAGTACACATTTATGTACTCGATTTTAAGCGACACCATTTGTATGAGCACTTGCAACACCACCCGACCACCCTAATCAAAGAAGGTGAATTGAGGCATGAATCTGGGACCTATTGGTTGAGATTCAAATCCTTTAGTCACTAAACTACCGCTTCATGATAAAAATCAAACAAAATATATGGATGAACGAAACCGTTCAGGCATTTTCGTCTTTTATAAATGAATGCAATACACATAAAGCCGTAACTCAAGACGTATACCATTTAAATTATTAAGACAGAATTTATGAACAAACTAAGATTGAAGTATAAAATTATATCATAAATTTTCCTAGAATAATATTTCCACACTGAAAAGTAAACAGACTGAAATAAATCGATCAAAGATAATGTCCATCTTGTTAAAAACTCCATATAAAAAATATACTTAAATGATTGATAATCCTATTGAATAAAAGGTTAGTTAACAATATGTAGTAAGGCACTACCATATTACAAACTTATGTATGCAAGTTAAGAGAGATCTTTTCCAAATATGATACATCAACTCTGGGATGCAGGTACATCCAGCCGACGAGTCCCAGATAGGACGAGACGCGTATCCTGGGTTCCACTTTTAGCCACTATCCATCTTTGCTTATAAAGGTTGTGACTTAAGGCAATATTGAGGCGATCCGCGCAGGACGCACATATGCCAACAAGAGACTGATCAATCGCAGTCCTGAACAACAATGGGAAGATACAAGCAAACAACACCAAGTGAATTTTGATACTTCATATGTTTTAAAATTAAACTTTAGAAAAGTGATTGCTTTAAATATTTACCAATGTTATTAGTGAACAGTTTAATATAATTCCTCTAGTTGAAATAAATGCTATAGCCAGCTAAATTGAATGGACCATAGTGGATTAGAAGTCAAAACTACTTACTTTCGATTACCTGAAGCCTAAAGAATCTCTTAACAATATGAGTTCCAGTGTATACAAGAATATGCAATCTTGATTTAACTAAACAATTAACAATACTTAGAAGTGCCATATTTCAACTATTCAAAGTAATACATAATCACTCCTGGAATATTTATTATCAATAATTCATCAGAAAACATACCTCTAAGTAGTCACATGAACTCATCACTTTTCTAACTATTCGCTTAATATGGGCACGCATTCTAAGCATAGCACCAAACTCAGGTAGTCGATGACGCATAGATAATGCTTCAACTGAGCGTAAAACTCCTAAATCAGGTCGTGGACTATGCCGACCGAGTGAACTTATCATTTGATTTATCGTAGGAACACTATGATTAAAAGGAAGAGAAACATTATTAATTGACTTTTCAAGTTGTAATTCTCCAGCTTGATTTTCAGTATCCAAAATATTAACAATCTTAGCGCGTAATTCTCCACAACATTGAACAGTAGGTTTATCAGTTGACAATTGAGATGTTTTTAGAACATTTGGAATATGATAGATGTCACCTTCAACTGACAAAGCGCAACCAACGGTTATCTTGTCAGTAATCTCACTAGGCGAAGTGACAACCTGAAATGTAATATTAGATAGACAATAAGTACAAGAAAAGTGAATATGTGGAATTAAACCTAATGAACACCTTGGAATAAAAATCTGTCAAGATTAAATGAACATTAAGGAAAAGATTCTCACACAACTACCTGGCGAATGAATTTATATTATTTATACACAAATGGAAATAAATGAACTATGACGTAGATAGAAGGCGCTACAAACATTACAAAATTTGGTAACCACATTTACACTAATAAACTGTCTCTTGACCATAAATATCATGTGACAGTTGGTATTAGGATCATGTTATGCGTACTATTGAAGTAATGGCTCAGTAGTCAGTGTAATTAACTCCCACTTAGCGGGTTACATTTTCTAACCACGCTTCACCTGCGTTATTTTGTGCAACAAGATAATATCACTAGCCATAATCTGAATGATGCAGACCATAGATTATTTTGCAAATCCGCACTTGGCAAACAAGTATCTAAACTTTGGTGTGTGAGATGGAGTTTTAACACATGTCTGTACAACTGAAAATCGAATACATCATTAGTGAGAACCAAGTATCTGAAACTTGGCCTTACGCTGTTATCTGACATAAGTTCTGATGCATACCAATTAGACAAAAAAATTAACAACCGGATAATATGAGACAAGAAAGTTTTGAGTGAAAGATAATGAATTAGAAATTATACCTTACTTGCAAATCATAAGGTGAAGAACCATCTGATATATTACAAAATACGCAAGATTTATGCTTTCTAACAGATTGAACCCATCCAATTAATTTGACATTTTTACATATCGCCTTATTCTCATTACATTTTGTCTTATCCAATGATACTATTGAGTGAGCATTCTTTTCTTTAGCTGAATGACTAGATCTGCATTGAATATTTAGAAAATCTTGTTTATGTAGATTTGAGACATTATATTTGAAATATAAGCGATAATTGTTGTACAATGACGTTGGTAAATTAAATTTTCGATGAATCAACATTAAGAAACAATGGAAAAGTTGCAATCCTATTGTAAAGTAAGTGGTAATACACATAAATAATAATAATAATAATAATAATAATAATAATAATAATAATATATTACACACACATAAACTAAGATCGTCAGCGTCACTAAAGGTATGCATATAACGTTAATAACAAGTGCCAAATAACTTAATTTTATTTAGAAGTTAGTAAATTGTCAAAATAATTTAAACAGATCACATTTAGTAATGGGCTTTGACAATATTATTAATCTAGACACCTAAACAGTATTACACAGTGAATATATACAGGGAATTGATTGTTCGTCGATTCACCAGTGTAAATGTTATCATTAAATAAGATGAAAGCAATCAAAATAATAATGAAAGTAAATTAACACATGTTCTCTTTGTAATATATACTTCATTTTCTAGCTATCTCAAAAATGACTAACAATTGATGCGTGTACACGTATGCGAAATTTACAAAATGAGATGTTAACAGTAATTCAATCCAGAAGATCCACAGTTACATAGTTTTAAATGAAACTACAATCGAACGTTATTATTATTTTATTCAAAATATGTGACTTAATCTTAAAATGTTTAATGACAGATTATTACTGAAAAGAGAGTAGGAAACTTTGACGAATACCCAAATATATATTTAATGAATTCAAAATTACTAACAGTTTTTCAACGTTCATTAAATAACTTTACCCTGGAAAACATAGTAAAAAAAGTTATATCCTAACCAAGAATAAATGAGTGGTAACTCATAGAAATTATTTATGGACTATTATTACATATATTCTTATTGGATAACTGTTATATATTATATGTATATTCATATTCCTTTTATTATAAGCTTCCATCTGACGTACTGACTATTATTATAGGACTTACAATTCTTTGGATTTTCCCATTTTATTAGTTACAGTCTCTTACACTCGCAGTCACTTTTGACTTGATCTTGTATAATTGTTATTTTCTACTTTATGATGAGATACGGCCTGGCTTGGTTGTATGTAAAGCAAGTGTGTCTGAAATATATGGTTCATACAGTGGAAACTGAGATTTGTGTTCTGAACTTAAACGGACAAGACTAGGCGAGCAAATCCAATAAGGACTTAGAATTGACTCTAGGCTGCTCGTGATGATCGAAACGTCATTGGTTTGGCACAGGGCCAAGGTCGTGTAAGTCGGTGTTGCAATAGATAGTTGTACCTGTTGAAAGGAACATATAGCCAACTGAGGACAAAAACAAAACCCAACAATTATCAGTCAGTACTAATGATTTATTGATGCTTTCACGACGATTTCAAACTTTAGAACCAATGTTTATACAAACAAACACTGAGACAAAAACATCTATTCCAAACACAGGACATTTCCAAGTATAGTAAGCACAATATGGAACCGAGCCTTGGATAATGGAAAGTCTACTTATTGTGTGCCACTAATTGGGGAATAACCAGGTACTGTAGAGAAGATGCCTGACAAATATGGCCCCTCAACCTCCTAAACAATTATGTACGAGGCTATACGCTACATGTGCAGTGTACGAGTTAACAATCCTTATATATTTAGACAGAAATGAATTAAGCAAAGATGGATGGTAGCTAACAGTGTTATCCAGGACGCGCGTTTCGTCCTAGTCACTATCCATCTTTGCTTATAAAGGTTGTGACTTAAAGCAATGTCAAGGGAATCCGTGCAGAACGCAGATATTTCAACAAGAGGTTGATTAATTGCAGTCCTAAACAACAATAGGTAGATACAAGCAAACAACACCAAGTGAACTTAGAAGTGAATCAAGTTTGAGATTATGATAAAAATGAATGAAATCACAGCGCCTTGACCAGGTTAGCCAAAGCACCATAAAACGTAGTAATAATACAAACTTTGTCGAACGACACTATGAACCTGTAAGTCATTTGTACGGTATGCTAGAGGACTGATGATGTTAACTACCTTTCAGGACACAATAAAAAGAGATGTCTGATCGCAAAGCGTATCTCCAAAATTAAGGAAAAAACTTAATAAATCTATCTGTTCATGACAACCAATTCGTTTCATTTTAAAATTATCATTGATAATAATATTCATTTGAACACAGTTAATACATCAGCCACTAATTTACTGGTTTAACATTACAATACTGATATATATAAGAAGACAAGTGGCAGTAAAGTAATAGGACAAATCTAATTTCACAAAGAAAGAATAACAACGATAGCGAATTAAATAATGCAATTTTAGGTATTGTTACTGAAAATCGCACACCATATGTCTTTTTCAAACAGAAAATAAATATGGAAACAAGAAATTTCAATTATTTCCACTTTTTCTCGTCGTCATACGATTTTAAGAAATGCGATAACCAAAGTTTATACATAATCGCGTGAAAATTTATGCTTAGCTAAAAGTAAAAAGGAAGGATGTTTCTACTGAAATTTAATAAAAATCACCTACCGCTCATGGTAAATTAAATAATTACTACACAAAGCAATGAAGTGAAAAGTGATGGATTATAATATTGAGAAAGTCAAATTCAAGATTTAACAGAATTATTTTTACTAGACTTCATTCAAAAAAATAACACCATATCAAACTTAACCGTTTCAGATAATAGTATGCAATGATTGAACATACTCTATCAGATGAGACTAAACAACTAGCCCCATGGTAGAAATTTAATATTTATTTTATTTCAACACATATATATTTGTACAAAAGGGTACCAAATATATATGCGCCACACCATATTTTTGTGTATGGGCTGTGATACTGCCCGGGTGCCCAGACCGAAACAGATGGTTTTCTTAGGGGGCCACACCCCGAGCCTTTGACCTAAAAATCTGATCCACAAGGCAGTGGAGCATCGTGAGGAGATGCAGTCCCATGGTAGCCGGTGACTAACGATTGGTTCACACGCCATTTGTTCCCGCAGGATACTGGAGCCCATGTGCACCATTGGTTTGGAATCCGGTTAAAGCGACGGACATTCGCTTTTCGTCCTCTCAATTTCGTAAACACCCCCGCCACGAGAAGGCAGTGAGTAGGACTTTCCTGATAGAGGCTGTATACGCGTGGCCATGTGAGAGCATTTCGAGAGGGAGAGCAGGCCCACCCCACTCTCGGCCATAACAGGGCGTTTGGGGGCGTATCAGGATATAGACTACTTGAACAGATAAGTCGATATCTTGTTGATGCTATTTCCTCACTTTGACTTCAAACGTGATGACCAATTAACTGTGTATTTCTAAGCGGGCTAACTATCAGTATCGCCTTAAATTTTCACGAGAATATTCAGAGGCTAAAATACCAGTTCTGTTGGGAAAGCGTGTATTGTTAAAAATTAATTAAATCAAAAGCACACGATGAGCAAGAACATTGGAAGGTGAACGAGTAAAAAGTGGGGAAATAACCTCAACAATCCCTAATAACTAAAAGTTCATTATGTTTTCAGATTGTCACAAGTAGTGTGGTGCAGAAGGTAGTCAATCAGTCAGAAACAACGTAGAACTTCGTACGTACATACATCAATTCAAGTTGCCATACCACATTAGAACAGAGATACAATTATCAATTCAAATCCCGTAGTGGTAGGGGTAGTAAAAGTATAGGCAGTATTCAGAAAGATTTGGGTTTGAAGATGTTAATCAAGGAGTATAACACAATGAAATAAATTTGGAAAGAGGAAACAAGGGACATGAAGAATTCAGAAGATAAAAATTTGGGGGAACACAAAGAGTGGATGCAAGTGCGTCATTGCAAACGATTTTGAGCCATGTCATTCAGGGTCTATAACGATCGGTTGCTATCATCTCGCGGTCCCTAACCAGGTAGTCTACACCTACCAACATGCCTCAGTCCACTTGTTAGTGACTTTATGGACTTGTGCCATTTTTTGGTCAGGCCGCTCTAGCTTTCTTCCAAACTACTCCTACATCATAAAACATCGCTAGTCGAGGCAGTCGGTGATTGAGCATACATAAAACGTGTCCCTATAGTGATGAGATATACTGACTGAGACATATGTTCCTGTAGGTTCTACCATACCAGGCAGGTCGATTGGAGAATGGTAAGACTAAAGACAGCAACTCGAGGTTTGAGGGCGAAGTCGTACTGCTGACTGTAGAGGGGTGTGACAGCAGTAAGGTACTTCGCTCGGACAAACAGCGTCTGCCACGATGCTGCCTTCTCACAAGGTAGGAAGGGGTTAGAAAAGGTCGACCCTAAAAATGCCAAACCTCACCTTACCTCACAGATTTCCATCTCCGGCGGTAAGACCATTTGAAGAACGGAGCTAACATATTAAAAACCTCCCACGAAAAGGCCGTGCGCCACCAGCCTCAAAGAGTTGTCCCTTGGGCTCTGTAGCCACGCTACCACGTCGTTAAGACCAACACTAATACAATGACCTTTTCAGGTTCATCAAGAAATACCCTTCCACGATGTGGGCAGCCGGGATGTGACATCAGCCTCATACCCGCAACAACACACGAAACCAAGTTGGTTACATTCAAGTCCTTCCTACATCTCCTAATAACTCTCTTATCGCCACGACTAACCGTCCTTACATTCCTATATCACCTAGCGCCACTAATGCAAACGATTCGAGTACGCGGAACGTTATTTCCGATCTCCTGGAACCACGCTCTAAACTACATGTACCAGCTTTTAACGTCCGAACACTGTGCCAATTAGGACAACAGGTTTCCTCAGCTGGGACTTCAGAATCTCGCGCTGTCGACGAATACTGCACCACCGAAACGTGCAAACTGGACCCGAGTAGCGTCATTCATTTGACCCCACCATATCAAAATAGAGAACCATCTCGATTCACGCTTCGTGTATCTGAAAGCCCTGGTGCTGCTTCTCGTGGCCTCGCCGGCGTAGGTATAAAATTGAGTCAGAACTAGCTATCTTAAACTAGATACCAGTAGACAGTCGTTCGTGCGCTGTCCGAATAAACGGGACAGTAAGGACTCGGAAAGATAGTGACACACGTCGTTGCCTCTTCGTCGTCTCTGACTATTCTCCCACCGACTGCAGCTCAGATG